TGGCAAGATTTTCTGGGGAAAACTTTTTGCGCTCATTTGGAAGTTATTTATTTGAAGTGAATTTATGAGGGAACAGACAGAATCCTGTTCAGCCTTATTTCCGTGGAAACTAAAAACATGGGGAGATAAACTGCTGCTTCGGCACTTCCAAGCCGGGGACAGATATACAGTCTCCCAGCTAGTGCGGGGAAACCAAGGACATAGCCATTAGTTTCAGGACAGCACCACATTGGAGACTAATGCCTCCATCTGTCACTAGAGATGAGAGGAGAGTAACAAAGAGAGGCAACACTAACCCCTGAACTCATCATGGACAGCCATGTCAATTAAATACTGAAAAACAGCAGCACTGGGAGCCATACTGACCAGTCCATACACTGCATCATGGGAGCTCACCCCTGCCTTCATCAACATTTAATGGAAATAGTACAATAACATGAAAATGAATTGACAGCAGGCCATTTGACAGCTCTGTCATGTTAACTAAAGCTGCAGAATGACTTGATGTTTTTTTTCTCTTTTTGGGATTTATTTGAAGTTTTACTGAAACCATACACTAAGTAAAATGGGATTTATTTGAAGTTTTACTGAAACTATACACTAAGTAAAAGGCAGGTCGCCTTTTTTAGAAAGCTGGTGTAGATTATTCTGCCGATATATGCATACATTTATCTATATTAATAAAGCTTTATTCACCAGTAAACTTAATCGTTAATTAATTGAATATGTTCATACCTGTACAGTAAACATCAGAGGTTATTTTTAGTTAGAAATATTCTACTACTAAATTATATAAGTTATGTTTTTTCATTGCATTGTTGCCAGGTTTCCCATTGCAAAAATATAAAAAACTAATTTACATTTTAAAAAACCTGCATTCTTTTAAACATTCAAGCTATTGTGTTTGACAAAACATATTTTTCACCGCTTTCTTCCCGAGACTGGTATGTACTGTAGTTTCACTTTACTGGAAGGTTCTAGTCATTTTGTAGATTTTAACCTACTTACTCAGGTTACACAACTGTTGACTCCAGTCTGAATATAAGCCACTTCCTGTCTATCATTTTAAAATGTACTGCGGTCTCTTTTGGCTGAGAAACTCCTGTGAGAGACAACTTAAATGGGCATTGACTTTTTTTTTCTCCAGATTTAATAAAATCAAGTGAAATATTAAATGAAATAATAAATCGGTGGAGCCCGGTTGTCTGTGTTGGACCATTATATTAGAAAAAAATATTCTGGCCCCTATGTTAATCAAATCTGGACCTTGCAGTAATGTATCTTTTGACATCCTTCTCATGATAATGTCATTATTTGAATTAAGCAAGAACAAAAACACTTGCTTTGTGAAATGATATCGCCAAGGCAGCTCTTCGAGGACACGGTCTTTAATATTTTCAGTTTTGTGGCCAGCCACTAGAAGAACAACTTTTACAGGTCCTGACAGGGACCGTCAGAGTGACCACAACACAACAGGGAATTCGTTAGAGAAGTGGGTCACGGTGTAGGCGGGGGTTATGGCTGTCGTAGCGACTGATTCAGCAGGTCTCCAGCTTTGATGAAGTTCACTGTATTATCCGACTGATCATATTAGTCATGCAGGAGCTCTACATCTGACCTGAGTGCCTGCATGGAGGTAATGTGAGGCTGTTGACACAGAGTGGCCTGATGAAACAGTCCCTGGGCCAGCACAGAGAAGGAGAGATAGAGGGGAAGAGAGAGAGAGAGAGAGAGAGAGCCTGAAATTTGACACCCAGAACCACTGACTTGGTGTCTGGCTTCTCTTACTTAGTCAACCTGTACGTGCCAGCTTCCCTCGCTGCAATGGTTCCACACAAACAAAGACAGTGTCCAACTCTCTTCACAGGATGTGGAGCAAGCAACAAGGCAAAAAAAAAAAAAAAAAAAAAAACACAAGTTCTAAGTGCTTTCAGGAAACGCAGGAACAATGATGAGAGTTTAAAAAAGTAACCGTGGGGCCAATAGACAGGGCAAGCGTTCCTGTGAAATACAACACTGGCAGCCAAAGAGAACGTCTGCTCGTGGTAACACAAGCCTGCGTCCCTGCTTTTCCATGAGCCGGCGTGTGAAGATGAACTTGTTTAAGCTTGCTAAATACTCTCTCGCCATGACACTGGGACGACCCCGGCACAAATATACAGAGGGGACAGGCCGAAGGGGTCAACATTTGAGGGACGCTCAGTCCAACGGTGGCATGTGCCCTGTTTGTCAGCTGCTTATCAAATGGACGCCTCGGTGTCCAGTATTGCTGCTGTCAACACTCACACACCAACGACAAGAGAGGGACACACACAACAGTTGAGGCCACAGTTACAACGTCAATTAAAAACAGAACTGTTACAACATTTTTGACCTCATGAGAAACGGCCTATTGATGCAGGTGAATATGATACTACTGTACGGTAAGGTGTGGTATGGAAGATTTTGAAGTTGAAGCACAATGGGTCAAAAAGACAACAAAACAACTTTATGAAGCAAAGTTGTACGAGCGAGATGGGTCTGAAGATCCTGCAATCGCAGCCTGGACGCCAGTTCATGACTTCTAGTCTGGACTAGTTTCGGGGGAGACACCAATAACAAAAAAAGCCTTGAAATCCATTCTGCCAAGAAAAACATGGGAGATAACTAAAAGTACCAAAAAGATCTTTTTAGCATTATTAACAATGCCTACGTTCATAAGTGAAAGGTGAGGTAAATAACCCAAAGAACACAGACCCCAGAGTGAAACACTAAAGGGAACACAAACTGCTGTGGTGCTGTTTTAAGGGTTTCAAAGACAACGATTGAAAAAGCCGTAAAAAAAAAAAAAAAAAAAAAAAAGAGACAATATTTTTCTTTGTTTGTTCTTCTGATGTAAATAAATGAACTGTTTCAATAAGACCAAAGTGAATGTTTCCTCAACTGGCTCGCACAAAAGACCTAAAACCTGTGGAGCAAACTAAAATAACAGGGTGCAGGTTGCACGACTAAAAATCTGAATCAAACGGTTGTTTGTTTGTTTGTTTGTTTCTGTACAAAAATGAGCTTTCTTAAAAAGATGTGTTCATAAATGCGTCATGAAAAAAAATCCCCAGCCTGTAGAAAGCACTGCGGAATCACGATAGAATCCACATACCTATGCATGGGTTCTCCACGCTGCATATGAACAGATAGGAACAACATGCGACAAACAACCGAGGATCTAAAGAGATGTTTCCTCTGTTGGATAAAAGGTTGAGGAGGAGCAGCTGCTGTGCTGCACAATCCCTCTCTGCTTGCACTTGTGCTCAAAGACACTCTGACTGCAACAACGCTAAAAAAGCACGGAGAAGCTGACTCTTTATAAAGAATATAAAAAAAGGCCTGACAAATTACAGGCTGTACTCCTCTCGCATATACACTGCACTCAGCACATTTGGCTGTAAATGCCATGGTGAAGCTTTGAGTCATTTTCTCTGTCACTGCAGTGAAAGGATTTTCAGTTTGGTCGGCACAAACCCTCCACGGGCGAAGATGAGCCGCAGCTCAGCTCCTCGAACGCAGACAGGGCGGACACTGCCATTAAGTCCTCGCTCACAAATTTCCTCAGTCCTGACTTCTAAACAGTCTTCATGGGAATAGCAAAGTTATTTATGGACTGTGGAATTATGTATTGTTTGAGTAAAAGGAAACTGATTTGATGGATTCAAAGGAGGAAAACATAAACTATGAAATGAAACGTGTTTATTTCCAAACTTGGTCCTGAACAGAGGGGAAGAGAATTTCCAGGCTGGGGGAGAGTCTCCCATCAGACTCTCTTTGAAATCCTGGTTGCCAAGAACGATGGGAAGCGAGGGAGAGGCAGGGGGGAAAAGCCAGGAAAAGGTCCAAGTCACTTTGTTCTTCTTTTTGGAAACGAACTCTGGTTGAACCCAGTGAGACGCCAGACAGTTTACAAAGAGACGTGCATTACTCTCTCACTTTCCACTTTCCGAGCCTCGCAATTTAGAAACAGGGCCTCAGACCCGCTATAGTCTCCACCTCACGGTCCACACTCTTTAACCTTTATAAATGTGCTGAAAATCCCAAGGTATCTGCTCGCTCCTTCTGTTTTAGTGCAAACCTGTGCCAATTTCTGACTCACGAGAATGAAATGTCAGCGAATAACATTTCATGTTGAATTAAGGAAAATGGTGTTGCCTCGATACGAGCCCTGTGTTTATTTTCAAATGTCTACACGGCCGCGGCGCAGCAGCTTCAACAGACACGGTGACAAGGCTCCCACTCCCCCCGTAATCTTAACCGCTGCTTCAAGTTGTGCTCACAGATAGATAAGGTAATATTAGATGTTTTGTTTTATTTCCTCCCCTTGAAAAAAAAAAAGCCATGCTCTGCCAGATCCCTCAGAGAATACTCACAGAGGGGGCAGCTTTCATCATGTGAGCCTCTCTCTTCTTTTTAATCTGCTGTTAACGGAGTAATAACTCACACATTCCTTTTCATGGCTTTGACCCTTGTTGCAAACATAAACAGAAAATCCCTCCGACCTGCCTCTGCATGTAAAACAGCTCACTTAGCAAACACCAGCAAACTCGGCCAAAGAAAACAAGGGAGTGGGGAGGGCATGAGGGGGATGTACGTATGTGTGTGTATCTCTGTGTATGTGTGTGTGCATGTGTGGGGGAGTACAGCCCCAGAAAAGGCCCAAATATCGGGACGTAAACGCTCCTGGATAATGACAGCAGCCTCGTCTGAGGCCAGAGCTGTTCTTATGGAAAGGTTTAGCTCAAAAGGAAAGAAAAACAAAATATAGCGTGAAGAGGAGATTCTGCCACAGTACGTGTGTGTGTGTGAGAGTGTGTGTGTACTGTATAAATATATCATATTAGTTTTCTTCCGAGTAGATTTTGTAAATGTACGTAGGAAGTTTTAATAATTCGCATCACTATCAAAAGTAAAGGTAAACAAAACAAAATAAAAAACCACACTCAGTAGGGGATAAACAAGAGAACAGAACTCACCTGTTTTCTCCTTTATTTCACACAGGACGTTGAAGAGGGCTGGTTTCATTCTGTGGCAGTTCAATGCATGTTTCCTGAAAATAATAACAATAATAAACAGGAGGATGTGGTTTCCTAGCCAGGAGATAATCAAACAAGTGGCAACGGTAATAAACACTCCAACAAATCCTCAAGATACTGTGCATTTTCTTTCTTCCCTGCATTTTTTTTCTTTCACTTTCTGCATCTCCTGTCAGACAAAGTGCAAAATAGGAAACATGAAACAGAACAACGTCTCACTACAAGGTTTTAATTAAATTTAATTACTGTGTCTGCGTGAATACACTGTGTAAGAGCCTTCTATACGGAACCAGAAAATGTGCAACAGCACACAGCCCGCCACACTGGCAGTGTAACGTGTCTCAAATGTACTTTGCATCAAATTTAGGTTATTAATAATAGGGCAAATGGCTCTAATTGCAGGAGTGGATCTGCGATATGTTGTTATGGTATGAAATTACAATATTTCCGTCTGGACCGGCAACTGCACGAGATGGCATTCCTAAATTATAACAATAATAAATAGATTCAAGTTGGAGTGAGAATTGAAAAGTAATTCAAATAAATTAATGGGAATAATTTCTGACTTTTTCCTCCACTTTTAGTGGGCGTAATTGCTTCCATTTAGAGGCACTCTTATGGATGAAGCGCAGTGTTATTATCTCCCTCTGGCTCCATCCACAACATTTAATCGCTCCTCGCGCTGATTTTACAAGTGTTTCTGCGCGTTTGCGCCCGTGTGATAGATGGAGTAGCCTCACCTCGCCTGTGCTTCGTCCAAGCTTTGGTCTGTGATAGTCATTATTTGCTGTAAAATGTCTCCGATGTCCTGCTTTCTTCCCTCTCCGTCCGTCCCCGCCGTGCCATCCTGCATATGCTGCGCCAGGCCGGGGTGTCCGGCCATGCCTACCCCGTGGGAGTGCATCAACCTCGGCTGTTCGTCCATCCTCGACCACGCTCCCTGCTGCCTCGTCTCCAACTTTCTTTTGGTTTCTGTTTATTAGATTGACACTGAGGCGGTGGTTTTGAAAGAAAGCGGAGAAAATATCCAGTGGAATTCCTCCGGATTCCTCTGCGCCTCTCTCTCTCTCTCTCTCCGTCTCTCCTTCTCTCTCAGCTCCGGCACTCCTCCTTTTTCCTTGGTAAGCTTTTCTGGATTTGGGAGGAGGGAGAGACTCAGACAAACCCTCTCTCTCTCACTGTCTCTTGGTGTCTCTCTCGCAGCTGGTTTAGGTGAAATCTGATCTGAATCGCTGCTTTTGGCTCTGCAGCCACTCCTGTGCTCCGCTGCAATAGAGAAGAAAAAGAAAAAAAAATTAAAAAGGTGTCTAATCTGATTAAAAGTGCAGCGCGTAAAAGCTGCGTAAATGCACCGGAGATTCTGGAGCTCAGAGGCTTCTAGCGCAGACTCAAGTTGCCCACAGTGGAGGCTTTGGAGTGGAAGTCAGCACCAAGTGTTATTGTTTAGCTTATGTCTGGTTACTGACTCATAATCAGAGTATGGATGGAGAAAAAAAAGCCTCCGCCCCTCGAGCCATGATTGGAGAAGACGCAGAGCGCAAGTCCCACCTCGCTCTTCTCCCCACACGTCAATCATCCTCCTCAGGAAGGTGGGACACTATAATAAACATAAAGAGATGTGACCGGGCCGGGTGGCAATACAGTGATGGATAGAGAGTGAATATGTAGCCTAATAAATAACTGTGAGTGGCAGCGCAACTCTAACCCTACAGGACAGCATGGTGGTGCCTGCAACACACACTCTGTCAGCAGCACCGTATATTTT